GTTGTTGTAGTTGTAGTTGTAGTAGTCGTAGCAGCAGCAGCAGCAGCAGGAGGAGGAGGAGGAGCAGGAGGAGGAGGAGGAGTAGTAATAGTAGAGTAGCAGAGTAGCAGAGTAGCAGAGTAGCAGAGTAGCAGAGTAGCAGAGTAGCAGAGTAGCAGAGTAGCAGAGTAGTAGAGTAGTAGAGTAGTAGAGTCGTAGAGTCGTAGAGTGGTAGAGTAGTAGAGTAGTAGAGTAGTAGAGTAGCAGAGTAGTAGATGAGAAGATTAGTAGATTAGTAGATTAGTAGATTTGTAATGATTAGTAGATTAGTAGATTAGTAGAGGAGTAGTAGTAGTAGTAGTAGTAGTAGTAAGTGTAGGAGTAAGTGTAGGAGTAGGAGAAGGAGGAAGAGGAGCAGAAGCAGGAGCAGGAGTAGTCGAACTAGGAGTAGTAGTCGTGATCGTATTTGTACTAGTCGTAGACGTAGCAGTAAGCAGAAGCAGTAATTATCAGTAGCAGCAGCAGGAAGTTGAGGAGAAGCAGCAGCAGCAGCAGCAGCAGCAGCAGCAGCGGCAGCAGCGGCAGCAGCAGGCATAGGGCCGAGGCACAAGCAGAGGCAGAAGAGGCATAGGCGCAGCCACAGAAGCAGCACTATCATCAGAAGCAGCAGCAGGGGCTTATCGTGGCAGTACCGATCTGGATTTGCCTGTAAGATTGAATGGCCAAGGCCAAGGATGGCTCCGCCTCGCCACACGACCTGTTTGGACATGGAGCATTTCAAGAGTTTCACACACACGACCGTGCCCCCACCGCTGTTTCACAAGATCAAGCGGGGTTAGGCGCTTGCGCCTGCTTTGTACAGCCACAGGTCCATTATGCAGATTGGGCCTTTGATCTGTGATCATGCTGGGATGGTACGAACACTAGCCCCTATTGGGGGGCAGGTTATTGGCGCCTGTTAAAAGAGAGGGGCAAATTCTCGGCACAAAAATTGCTAGGGTCAACGTGCACTTCGGTCTTCACTGCAAGTGATTGGTTGCCCGGTTGCCGGCCTAAGCTCGAAACCAAATAGTGCCCCCAGGAGGTTGTTAAAGCTGGACAACACTCAACCGGTAACTGTTTGGTGCCGGTGTTGACATGGCCATTTGTTGTGACCGGCAGTGACCTTCGGATGCGCTAGGGCCACGAAGCAGATCCCAGATCCAGGGTTCTTGGTTTTGCTCGCCTTTTATGCCAAACCCGGGCCCACAAGCGAACGAACTACAAACCGCTCGATTCGATTCCTTTACAGCTTTGTTGGACAGGACATCGGAAGCCTCAGCTGGCCCGGCTTATGGTCTTCGGGGCGCCCAGCTTCAATTGAGTTCCTCTTCAAACTGCGGCATAGAAAGTGGATCTCGAGCTTGATTCAAAATTCTGCTGGCAAGGTCTAGGGCTGGGGTGGGTCTGCTGACAAGGTGCTCGTGATTGTAGCTCCTGCGCTTGCAAAGGCAGGGGTCCTCCCACCTCACAAGCAGAGCCCCTTGGAATTTCGCGATTTGTGTGTCGATGTTAGCACGATCGTTTGCAAGATGTTGACTGCGTGCAGTAAGCAAGGCTGTTACTGCCGGTAGTGTTCGTACATGGAGCAGAGAGCCACACGAAGTTGTCGCCGTCACCATAACCATCATCAGCACTAGTATGTTTGCCGTCATCCTGTCGAGCAGAACGGTTCGCCATCGTCCACCTTGTTTGTCCCTTATTTGTCGTCATCCTCGGGATCGTCGTCATCACCATTATCATCTTCTTCCGCATCGTCACCGTCAGCATGACCCTCCAAATCATGAAGAATCGTGTTTCCGTTCTGTGAAACCTGCTCCAGTAACCCTGTGACATTGAAAGGCACTACTGCTAGCCGTGCGAGTGCTCCTTGGCTTCAGACATCGCCTGTTTCGTTTTCCAGCCGGGTTCCTGATCAGGGCAAATTGGTAGCAGCCTTTTTTGCTTCGGAGTGCATTTCTTGTTTGGGAGAGCTCGGGTGGCATCGGTAGCCACGGTTTGGAAGCCGCACGATTCGGCTCAATTCTTCGGCCTGTCTCTACCTTGGCGGATCATTTTCTTCAATTTGTTGGATATTCTCATATCCTTCAATGTACTCTAACATAAGATATTATTTCATACTATAAAACCCTATGATATAATATATCATGATCGATTCCGATCTTCTGCAAATGTCTGAACGGTTGGCAATAGGCCCGCAAGGCCGAGGTAAGATGTTTCAGGTCGGATGCCTTCCCTGGGCCTCTACTTGCCCAAACCTTAAAACCCTACATGGGTAGTTTTCTACAGTTGGTCCCCTTTGCCCCAACCTTAAACTCTACACGGGTAGTTTTTCTATAGTGGGTCCCTTTTGGGGTCCTGTTGGACCCTAGTTTGCCTGGCACAGAAAGTTACATGCATGCATACACGTACATGTATATACACATGCACACATTTCACTTTCCAGTTCTGCATGCTAACCCTGTAAACATCCCTAAACCCTAAAAATCCCTAAACATCCCTAAGCTGTTTCATCTCCTGTCTCTGAGGAGCCTCCCGGCCTACCTGACACCTGAAGGCCTGTCTGCCCAGCGAGGCCAGGCCTTTGTTGGGAAAATTCCTCTTTAATATAATATCATATAGTATAATATAGTATAGTATAATATATTGTAATACAATATCCCTTTAAAGCATCACAGTGATTTGGGTGCTTCGAAACAGAAGGACTCTCAGCAGAGTGTGTCTTTGCCTTTTGTTTCCTTTTAGGTTGGAGTTTGGGCTAAGATTATATAGGCTTTAGGGTGAGATGTGCAGGTGCCAGATGATGCTATGCTATGCGTCGAACAGATTCTTATATTAATATGAATATGCACCTGTATCTCTTAGTGTCATCGGAGCTCCATTTTGCCTGTGTGGGCTGACGCCTACCTACGGCAAAGCCTCCACAGACCGTCAACCATCATCAGACTGTACCGCGAGATCACAAGTCAAGCGAGCTGGTGTTCCAAGTCACGCTAAAGGGCAGCTCTCACCATCCATGCCCGGACCGAACCAGGTGCACCGCGTCTAGCCCTGCACAACTCAGCGGCTGATGAGCGCTGGGCGGATCATATGCAGGGTGCGCAGCCTTGTCTGCGTCGGTTGTAGGCTTCAGGTCTGGCACATTGGAATACGTCTATCTCAGTTGATTGACGGCATCTTGGTCTTGTTCGGGAGAGATGGGGTCAAGTCGACTCGAGACACTAGGGCCGGGTGTCAGAAGTCGCGAATCAAATTGTGTTACACCAGCGACCGATTTCCCAGTAAAGCAACTTCCGGAGTTAAAGATGACGCGAGCGGCAGGGAGTGCGAGGGATTCGGAACTAGAGACACGGAATGCGAGAGAGGAACAGACTTGCGGCATCAACTCCCTTTTCCAATGCGATGTCAACGAGACGTCCTACCGATGCATGGACCATCCTCCATCGGCTGAGAGGGGTGGAGGGGCGTGGCACCAGGAGATGCCATCGGGCCAAGCACCAGCGAGCACCAAACAGTATATGATATCACATTACATGTTACATATTCCCATTCCGCTCGAACTTGTTGCAGTCTTTCTTCTCCTCGTTCGCGAACTAAGACTGTCTGTACCTTGTTAACCTGCTTCATCCACCTGGTAGGGTAAGTTAGTAAGTTTCTTAATGTCCGCCCACTACATAAAGCCACCAAGAACCTAAAGAATAAGTGGGCTCAGGTAGGAGAACCTCAGTTACAGAGCAGCTGGAGAGGTGCCGCCAACCAGCGAGGCAGTCGATCGACACCAGGTTCTGCTCGGCGGGCCGTCACACTAGGCACGGGTGGATGGATGCCAAATCGAAGCTGCCGGCGGTTGTGCAGGGGTCCTTCGTTCTCACCTTCATGACCTTACTATAGGTTTTACATTGGAGTCCTTTGTTTCCTGAAGATCCCATCTCGTCTTATCCCCGAAGCTCTGCTTCCACCAGAACGAACGCGAAAACGGCCGACACTGCCGTTCAAGAGGTCTGGCCGCTGCGCTGACTGCTTTCGTGGCAGTTGGCTGCGGACCTGCGGCGAGGCAGCTTGATCTGGTTTAGGGTTTGGTGGTGTTCCCAGGCAACTTTATCGGTATCATTATTTTCGGGTGTTCAGCTGTTTTGGCTTGCGTGTGCATTTATACATGCTCATATATTATGTATACACACATACATATACACATTCAAAGACATTTACTTACGCGAGTGTGCAGACGGAACTTTTCGAAGTCGTCCATGCTCGGGCCCTTGACTGACCCGAATCAAGGCTTAAAGCCTGAGCAGCTCTGGGTCTCAGGGAACCTTCGGCCGTGCTCCTTGATGTGGACTGCAGAAGGCATCATAGTTTCATCAGACTTCAACCTGGAAGTGAAGAAGCCACCAGAATCCCAAGCATGCTTTGAAGGCCCATGCAAATAGCCTACCCAAAAACACTTAAAGGGTTGAGAGCCCTTGGGTTCTCTGCTTCCCGACTTCCTTTATTTTATTATGTCAGCCAAAAAGCTTTGAGAGTCCTAAACTTGCTGGGGCAGCAATGTCCATCCTGCCCAGGAATGGGCTAACTAATCTCTGGGACTTGAAGAAGCGATAGTGATGCAAGAAATGACTTGCAGTTGGAATTGGTAGTCGCTGTCGTCGTCGTCGTCGCCACAGTCGCAGTCACACGCGCGTCGTCGTCGTATGGTCATTTTCGTTGTAGTCTTTAGCAGTGGCAGTTGTCGTCGTCGTGTTAGTGGGGTGGTGTGACAGTTGCCGTCGAAGACCGCCATACGAATGCCAGAGTAGTAGTAGTCGTCGTCGTCGTCTTCGTCGTCGTAGTAGTAGCAGTAGTAGCAGCAGCAGCAGCAGCAGCAGTAGCATTGCAGATGTTTTTCTAGCGCCGTCATTCTCAGCCCTACATCCTCGAAGGAAAGTCTTACACCACTGAAGTCTGAGCCCTTAACCTTGCACCCGACACTTATCGGATTACCTTTACAGCCGTGCCAGCCAAGGGCAGCCGACCCAGAGGTGGACGTTTACTTCGGGGCAGGCAATTTCTGGAGCAGCCTGTGTCGAAGGTGAGTGGTGTTTAAAGGGCCGGGGCTTCGCGGTACCACAGCGGGCTGTTTTTGCGCAGCTGAACTTGTACGTTTGCTTCAAGAAAGCGAGACAGAGGGAGAGACAAAGAGAAAGAGAGAGAGCTCTACACGTATATCTGTGTGTAGTTTTTTATAAATAGTTTTTTGTCGTTTATAATAAATTTACATATATATATGTATATATAGAAAGCTGTATATAATGTTAACTGGTACACATATACACATATACGTATATATATATATATAAACACAGTAAAGCCAGAAAGTTGGAATTTTATTATCCTCGTGACTTTTAGCTAAAGCATAGGGAACCCTAGCACTAATCGGCCTAAATCAAGGTTCCAACTTTCCGGTGGTGTGTGTGTGTGTATATATATATATATTTATGCAACCCCCTCCCCCGCCAGAAAAAATAATGACCCGCGCGACCTCTGAATGTGTCGCCGCTTTTCGAGTCTACGGTAGGAGAAGTTCTGTCTGGGCAATATCAGCCATCTACCTTCGTAGACGCTGACATGAGAAACATTCGTGTTCTTCTAAAATTCTTCTAACAGCCCTTCACTCCCGCTCGTGATGATTTGTCTAGGGGAAATCAGAAGGATCCCAAGATCTTGTAGATTAAGGAGCAAGGGATTTTGCACAAAAGAAACTAGGAACAGAAGAGAGTACAGTAGCCTGCTGAATACCTTACAAGATACCCTCTCTACAAAC